CCAGAATCTGCAGTTTAACAAGGTCTTTGGGTGAGTCACACATTTCCATTTGTGATGCACTGTCCAACAAGGTAGCCAAAAGCCACATGTGGTTATTCAAATTACTTAAAATTAAGTAAAATCTAAAATCCAGTTCCTCAGCCACACTAGCTTCATTCTGAGTGCTCAAATGCCACACGTGACCAATGGTGCCGGACAGCACAAAGAACATTTTCATTCTCATGGAAAGTTCCATTGGATATCACAGGACACAAAGCTGCTTGCCAATTCAATGTGTAGTGAACACTACACATCAATGTTTAAAAATAATAATAATAACTGATACTCAATTTTCATCCAATCTACCTTCTGGTAGATTTCTCTTATAGCAGGAAGTAATTAAGGTTCTGCCAAGCCTCACTATCTGGAGGGCAAACACACTAGACCACAACTGACCCTTTCCCAATATAAGCAGCTTTGTACAAGTGTAAGTCTAAAAATTCCCAAAGGCAATCACCCCATAAAGTAAACTGTTAGAAAAATAATGGATGCTTGACTTCTCTGGTTTTTATAACCTCAAAAAGATTTTCTTTTTTTTGGGTACTGGGGTTTGAACTCAGGGCCCCACACTTGCTAAGCAGGTGTACTCTACCACTACAGCCACTCCACCAGCCCTTTTCTTGTGTTGGGTATTTTCGAGATAGGGTCTTACAAACTATTTGTCCAGGCTGACCTCAAACCGTGATCCTCCTGATCTGTGCCTCAGAGTAGCTAGGATTACAAGCATGAGCCAACAGCACTCAGCTAAGAAAAGATTATCACAGCAAAAGGTGCTTTACTGATTCCATTCAAGTTTAGCAAGTGCTGTGAGTAAGAGGTTAAGTGTCCCTCAAACATCCATACGTAAAAGCTTGGTGCCTAGTGCGGTCATGTTAGAAGATGTTATGGACCTTTAAGAGTGACGACTTTGGTCTTTAGGGGCAGTGAAGGGGACTGTGGGACCTTGGTGTCTGTCCTTCTCTGTTCCTGGTTTAAGATGTAATCAGGTACTTGCTCTCAATGCACTTCTGCCAATGCCACTCACCATGTGTCATGAGCATCAAGAGGCAGGCCTTGCTGAGCCTGCATTACACTATCTGGGCTTTAAATCTTTTCTTTTTTATAAACTATCTCCTTCAAGAATTTCATTGTAGCCACACAAAGCTTACTAATACATTGTGTATCCAAATTACAGAGGTTTGTTACAACATATACTGCTGGATCCCACCTCTAGTTTTTGATTCAGTAGAACCAGGGTGGATTCTGGAGTCTGAATTTCTAACCTATCCCCAGATGATGTTGACAATACAAGTCCAGGGCCCAAACTTTGAGAAGCACTAACCCAGGTAACATAAATACTGGGAAGATCTTGAAATTTGCTTTCACACATACCGGACAAGAGTGCTGCAAAGAAAGCAAGCTAAAATCAAATGAGCCAGAACTGAGTACTTTTCCCCTCTCATCTTCATGAGACACACAAGATCATCAGAAACAGAGCAGGAAGTGGAAGAAACACCAAGTAAGAAATGTATTTCTGTCTGAATTTATAATGTAGTAACTAAGGCTTTACTTAGCTTTCCCTCATATGTCAAAAGGTAGTTTGCAGGGGTTGGTGGCTCAAGCAGTGGAGCACCTGCCTAGCAAGGGGGAGACCCTAAGCTCAAACCTCAGTACCACCAAAAAAAAAAGTATCTTACATCTTTACCTATTCACTTTTAGAACCTTGGAAAACCTACAGAAAACCAGTAGAATCTTGATCTCCATTTTTACTGATCTTTCCTAACACTTTGTTTTTACAACCTGTTTGCCTCCCAATTCTCATCTGCCTTCGCCTCCATAATTCACTTTTATCTAACTACTTTCTTGGTCTCCTTTATGGATACCTCTCTGGGGTAAAGATTATGACCAAAGCTCTTAAGCAAGGAAGGGCCCTTTCCTGGAGTACAGGCTGAGACCTGTGCAAAAGGGTAAGAAGATTCCGCAAATGTCATTGGGTTAGGGATCATGCTTGCTCCTCTCTTGATACATAGGCTTCCTTATACAGATTAACAGGAAATCTTTTTCCTTAGCATTTTAAATAAGGCAGAAGAACAACATAACTGGATTTCAAAATCAACCCACAATTTTTGGGGGAGGGAGATAATAAAAAGGTAGAATACCCCTTTTCTATAGGCACAGGGCTGGCAAGGGTACAGACCTTGTCTAGAAATAGCTGGACACTAGAATTGACAGGGAAAAAAAAAACACGTGATATCTTTTGCCCAGTCTCTGTCTCTTGTGTACTGAAATTCCCATCACTTTGCAATTAAGTGAATGATTAACAGTCTGGCCCAATAGGGGAAATGACTCCAAGTCTGTGAGACCCATTGCTACAATCCCCGTAACAGTTCCTCCTCCTGGTACATCTTTCCCACAGGCATTTCCATATTTCTATCCTGATTAACTCTCAAAATTCATCCTTATGAGAATTACCTGAAAAGCACTAGCTTTTGCCCTCATTTTTAGCTAGTTTGTTTCATTAGAAATTTTCAGCGAAATTACCCCAACATCACCTTAAGCTAACAAGAGAACCACATAACTTTAATATGCCCTCCAACCTTCATCCCAGGACTGCATCTAACCTTTAACACACCCATTCACTCCAAAGGGCTCTCCTTCCTGCCGGCCCTCATTCAGTCAGTGGCAGTAATGACCCTTCTCCTTGGAAATTCAGGGTCAACTCTGAGTTTTCCCACATTCACCAGGAGCCAAAGAATGAATGAGACCAAGGATGAACACCTTACACATTTTATCTTTCTTAAGTTTAGTGCTATGCACAAAGCAAGCATTCAGAAAAGAGGCAAACTAAAAAGTATTTTTTAACCATAATTCCTGAATCTAGCCTCTCCTCTCCACCCCCAAAATCACTAACTTTATTTAATCCTACCTTATTCTCCCTAAAACCATTCTAACAGCCCATTGTCTAGCCTTCTTTTCACCAGTCTTTCCCTATTTCATTCCATCCTCCATATAGTTACAGTTTCCTTTCTAAAAGTAGTATTACTTCCCCAGTAAAAACCATTTGACATTTCTCCATCACTTAAAAGATAAAGTTCATGGGGTATGTTGACACACACCTGTAATTCCCTCACTCTGGAGACAGAGGCAGAATTGCAAGTGCAAGGTCAGCCTGACAGGTTCAGTCTCAAAAAAAAAAATTTCTTTAAAGAAAAAGTTTGCACTTCTTATTTGATATCTATAAACCTTCATGATCTGGCCCAAATTACCACTCTAACCTCATTAAATCACTCTCTGCCATGTATCTTCAGGAGCTTTCATGTCAACAAACAGACTGTTCCCTTGCCTGGAAAGCTACCACTTCTTCCTTTTTCCCTTCCTATTCCCTAATCTATGTAAAGTCCCACCCTTACCCAGTGACCACTTTTGTGTGCTTCCCCTGAACTAGCACTTGTCATACTATCATAATTACACACCATGTCTGAGGATTCTACTAAAGGTGACTCCTGCAGCTGGAACCCCGCCTCACTCAACCAACTCTGGCAGACTGCTCACAGGGAGCACAAAGTAAGTGTCTGTTGAACAAGCTTATTTTAAACTCAAAAGAATAAAATCTTTCAAAGTTTTTTTTCTAATTACTTTGGGAGGCTATACAAATATTTTAGTAATATGGTCAATGCTCAAAACATTGTAGAACTCCTCTTTTGCCATTTGGAACTGCCTTCTAAGCTTGTTTACTTTCCAGAGAAGAAAATCAGTCCCATTACTTTATATGTATGAGACATTTTCAACCAAAAATAGTAAGAGACAAATTTAAACATTTTGATTCCCCCACCTCCCTTCATCTTATGGATTTGTTCCAAACTTCTGGCTCTTTCAAAGAAGAAAATGCTCCTTTAAAGGATGAAAATTTGTTATCACTGACATTGTGCCACAGGTTAAGATTCCAAACGGAAATGCAACAAAGCTTTGCCAATGGTAACACCATTGGAATAAATGTAGCATCTTCAAAGGCTCCTATTTGATGGTGAAGATGAGTGCGTATTTAGAAAAGGGTTTTATTTTTCAAGAAAAATATTTCATTTCACCTTGCTGAATATTTTTGAATGAAATTATAAGAAAAAATGCTTCAAATTCTCCAAATTGTCAAGATCACTGAAAACTAAGCGTAATGACTGGTGAATCAATTTCCAAAGCTGTAACATTCCACTTTAATAACTTCATTAGAACATTCTCAAGGCAGAAACACCCTACCCAGAAAGCGCACCACCCTTGTCCTAGGAAGGGATTCCGCCAATTTAAAAGATCGATGCCACAACACGACAAAAGGGACAGGTCCTTATTTTGCTTCATTCGACATGTATGGAGTACAGGCTGGGTGCTCTGCCCCATTCAAGGGAAGGAGGGGCAACAGAGAGAAAAGGGCACAGCCCTAGCACTTAAGCTGTCAAAATCATTTCAGACATTTTGCCAAAGCGCCCGAATACATTTGTAACCACCCATCCCTAGTGAGGCAGTTTACACGAATGACAAATTGATCTTGGGGTAGATAAATCCCTTTATCCTCAAAGCATCCCTACAGGAAGGGAGAATGGTTGATCTTCCCCATGCCTGGGCTGGGAAAACTGAGGAAATAGGGAGGGGAGAGGTGGTCCTACATCTTTCCCTTTCCCTCCCGGCCAGCACTAGAGGAAGAAGCCTGGATTTCTAAAATCCCAGTCCCAAGCCCGCTAGTTCAATGAGAAGGTAGAATCAAACTCCAGCTCCTTTCTGCAGAAACGCACACGGACCCAGACACCGCCCGGTCCCATCTCCGGGGAGCTGCAGGTGGAGGCACGGTAATGGTGGACGGAGGAGGTGGAGGGGAGAAGGGGGGCGCGCTCGCACGCCCCTCAGCAGTCCCCCTCGGTTCAGACAAGTAGCTGCCAAGGCAACCCGAGACCGCAGGGCCAGGGGGACCCCTACTCCCCGCCCACGATGGGTACCTTCGAGTACTCCTGAGCCAGCTTCTGGTACTTCCCCTGCAACTCTGCCGAGGCCATGGCCTCCCCCGCCCCGTCCAGGCCAGGTTGCCCAGGCCGCTCAGCCCCGCCCCCCACCCCCAACCCCAGACACGCTCCGGGGTTCCGCTCAGCCAGCGCCTGCAGCTCGGCCACCGCCGCTGCCGCGCCTCCTCCTCCACTTCCGGGTTCTCGAGGTGGGAGGAAGGTGGAGTGGGGTCGGGGGCGGGGCGACTCGTGAGGGCGGGGCGACGTCCTGACGTCGACGCCCCACCCTCCCTCACCCAAACACGCGCGCGCGCGCAGCCTCGCTGGTGCGTCTGGGCTCTGCCTCTGGGACCGGGGGCGCCATCTTGGGCCATGCGTCAAGATGGCGTCCTGGAAGGGAGAAAGGGAGGCTCGTAGGGGAAGAGAATGATTAGGACCTTCAGAAAGGGCGGGGTCCGAGAAGCGAGACCGTGGTGGCGGCGAAGAGCAGAGGACCGGAAGAAGAAATGTTCTAAGAGCAGCAAGAATTCTCGCAAATCCGGCCTGCGGTTCCCATGGCAACCCCCCGGCGTTGGATGGTTACCTCTTTCACAAGGAACCTCAGTATTCCGCTGTCTCGCTTATTGTAGTGCTGGACCCGGTCTGCACTAAAAACTCTCAGGCCTCCCCTAAATCCATTACGCTGCCCTGCTCCATGCCACACAAACCTTCATTGTCTTTTGTGTCTTGACGTTAAGATTGCTTTGTGTGTCTTCTCTTCCCACGCCATGCGCCCACAACTGCCCCGTCGTTCGCACACATCAGACCCTTTTTCACTGGATTGAGAAAAAAAAAAAAAAAAAGCCGTTAGGAAATTTCGGGTAGTAATTGCTATCATGTATGCAGATACAGTGAACTTTTAACAGTTCAAAAAAATTGTAAGGAGAAATGAAGCAAAAGCTCAGTCTGCCTCAAATACTTAATGATGCTTTTGCTTGAATTACAAGCTACCGCCACTCGTATTCATTTAGAGATTTTTTTTAAATTGTACTAGGCATGGCATTTCACGACAGCATTGAAATGTTCATTGGTAGAGGAATGGCTAAATACAGGGTACATGTTTGACCTAAATTACAATATGACAGTTTAAACGACCTACATCTGTACATAGCTGTAAATACCAACATAGCGAACACCACGTGAAATGTAAAAAGCAAATTACAGTCTAATATGGATACATTTTAAAATACAAAATAACATTTGTATTGCTCGTGGACGTGGGAACTTACTAAAAATACAGAAACAAGAACTGGAAGGATACATATCAAACTCTGCATAGTGGTTACTTCTAGTGAGAAAAGAGGGAAATGAAACTAGAGAATAAAGGAACATAAACTTTTTTCCTTTAATGTTTAAAGTAAATATGACAGGGTTAACATCTTGGCAAGTATAGGGATGTTATATTGGCACTTTTATTTTTTTAAGGATGACTTATTCTGGATTCTCCACACCCCCTTCAGTTTCTTTTTTTCATTGTCTCAGTTTTTTGCTGTGTGCTTGCATTTAAGCAAGTACTCTACCACTGAGCAACAACCCTAGACCTATATTAGAACATTGTACATGATTTTAAGAAAGCAAAAACCTATTTGTGCTATCCTGGTTTCCTATTTAGCTATGAGTAGGTCAAGAATTTTACAGTGAAGGACTGTGCCTTTATCCATTTTCAGCCATTGTAATTTGTAAGAGAATTATGAACTAAAAAATGCTTATATTTTTGATTGCTAATAGCCAGTTTCTACTGTCCAGAGTTTCAAAATGATAATGTAAGCTATTAGTAGTTTTCTGTGGCACCACCAAGTGGCAGAATTAAATGTTGTGAGTGTTTTTCCATGGTTTGTAAAAGAATGGAATTTCTTATTATTTTTAAATATCATTCCAGAAATAACATTCCAGAGAAAAAATGTTCAACTTTAGCCAGAGAGACTGTCTAGGTTCATTTTACTGAATTTAGACATTTATTTTCCACAGGCTAATCTGTTCTGTCAGATGCATTGTTTTAAAAGCACAATTGATGCATCTGAATGCATTAAAATTTAAAATCTCAAAAATACCATTAAAGTCAGACATGGTGGTACACATCTATAATCCCAGCACTTGGGAGGCAGAGGCAAGAGGAAAGCAAGTTTGAGGCTAGCCTAGATTACATAGCAAGTGCCACGCCAGCCTGAGCTACATAGTGAGACTCTGTCTTAAAAAAAAAAAAAAGACTCCATTGAGTGAGTAAAAAGGCAAGCCACAGAATAGTACAAAATATTTGCAACATATGTAGTCAACAGAGGTCTTTTATCCAAATATATAAAAAGCTCTTAAGGATCAATAAAGAAAAAGACAAGCAACCAAATGGAAAAAAAAAAAAAAAAACCCAGACATTTCACAAAGGAAATGGTCAAAAACATGCAAAAGAGCATTCAGTTCCATTAGTAATCAGAGGAAATGACATTAAACCACAGTGACATACCACTGCACCCCACACAAATGACTAAAATTAAAGACTGACAAGTATTAGTGGGTATATAGAACAAAAGAAACTTGCATAAACTGCTGGTGGGAATGCAAGCTAGAATAGTCATTTAAGGGGAAAAAATGGTGTTGTCTACTCACTTGAAAAGACACATACACTACAGATATGCTCCAGGTGTGGTTGGTATACACTGTAATCCCAGAACTTGAGAGGTGAAAGCAGGAGGATTTCAAATTTGAGACCAGCCTGGACTAGGCAGTAAGACCCTGTCTCAATTCTCAATTTCTTCCAAAAATGTGTGCATATATCCACCAAGAATATTCATACAGCATTATCCATAATAACCAAAAAAACAAACCTTCCAAATGTCTATCAACAGAATGGATAGGTAAGTGGTTGTACATTCAAATTATAGAATATAAAATCACAATGAAAAAGACTGAGCAACAGTAGCTTTTGGATAAATCTAAAGAAAAATAGAACAAAGGAGCCAGATCTAAAGTCAAAATTATCTGACTTCAGACTTCATTTATATAATGTTCAAATATTGGCAGAACTCAACTAAATAGGGCTACTTAAGTGATAAAACTAGAAAAAAAAAGTGACATGATAACCTCAAGGGGAGAAAGTGATAAATATCAGTAGGGACATGAGATGCCTTCATGGGTATTGGCAGTGTCCTATGTCTTATGTGGCAGCTACACAGATGTTGACTTTATAGTAATTCCTTGAAGTATATTTTTGTTTTGTGCACTTTACTGTGTGGGTGTAACATTTCACAACAACAAATTTTTTCAAGTCATTTGTCTCATATATTTACCAGCAATAGCTGTCAACCTATAAACAGTATGGTACGAATGGAAGTTCTCTTGGAATTGTTGTAAATATGCAAGTGCTGTGATGATTACTAAAGCAATTAAAAAATTTTTGTTTTGAATATTGAAATACCTTGCATCTGTGCAGGTATAGAACATACTGAAAGCTGTTGAATAAGAGGGGGTGGGAGGGAAGGGTAAGGGAGAACAGAGGGCACTGAACAACCAAAGTAAAGTATATTCCCAGCTGGGCTACATCTAGAAACTCCTTTGAACACTGACTTTGGACACAAAAATGAAAGATAGGATTGTAAAATAGGTATGGGGACAGAAACAGTGGTGGGAGGAGAGAGGGTGAGTAGAGGAGATGAAGAAGAGGGAATATGGTTGATGGACTTAGTATACATATATGAAATAGAACCATGAAACCTCTTGCAACTGTTTTAAGTGGGCCAGGGAGAGGTTGGGGGGAATCGTGGGGTGATCTAAGCAATATATAGTGTAAGATTATTTGGATTTATCACAATAAATCCCCCCATCCAATGAATATATGCTAATAAAATTTTTAAAAGAAATTTAAAAATATTAAATATTTGGAGTTTTTATGGGTCAGTTTTTCAAAAAGATACTTGTTTTGAGTTTTCTTTTGCTTTGTTTTTTTCAGTTGCAAATGTCAGAAACTAAACTCAAATTAGCTTGGACCCAAAACGGGAATTTACTGGAAGGTGTGTGGATATGTCACAGAACCATAGGAAGAGAAGGCACAACTTAGACCAGGGATCTAGGTATTTCTGCAACTCTCACACTCTGTCTCTGCTTCTCCTTGCAGGCCTACTTCTATGTAGTAGCCCAGAGGTCCCAAGCCTTCCATTTCACAGTTTTGCCTCCATTGTCTCCAGAAAGAAACCAAGTTGTTTAGTTCCAGTTTGAAAAATTCCAAGGAAGGCTTCTGATTGGCCCCACTTGGGTCAGATGCCCATCCTTGGGACAGTGACTCTGGCAAGAGGCCTGAGTAACATAGGACAGGCAGGTCAGCTGGTAGCTCATCCAGGCCTTAACCAAGTCAAGAGAGATTCGATTACTCTTTTCTCAAAAGACTTCTGCGTCAGATGCCACAGAGGCCAGTGGAGGTCAGAAATCAGCACCAGGACTTACTTGCTTGATGACGATCCAAGGTCCCCTATCCTGCCCTAAAGAATACAGTGTGTTCTCCACACACATAGAAGCCATCTTGAAAAGGGACAAAACTCAGGACAAATGAGCATTTTTTAAAAGGAAGTCCTGTGGTAAACTGAAAGAAAACTCTTTTTACTCAAGAGACTGCATGTTATTAATTGATGGGATCAGTTTTGCCTGTGATGAGTAGTGGAGACTTTTGAGAAATGGAAGTCTCTATCTCTCAGCATACTAAGCATATAACAGGTCAATTGTAGTCACATAGCATGAGGAAGAAAAGTTTTGTTGCGTTTTTCATACTCCACCCTGAACAGTCCATGTGATGTAAAACAGTAGTTGGCAGCTTCGTTATGCATCATGAAGTGATAACAATGGAGAACAGGGCTTGTCAGCTCCACACTGGACACTACACAAAATGAAGTTTGCCCTTGGGGCAGACAGGAGACTGAGGCAGGAACTCTCCAGGTCCTATCTGAAAGCCTACTTCATTGTTTATAGAGAGTGTGTTCCAGATTACAAAGATACCCTTTTAAGCCAGGGGCAGGTGGGTGGATAGAAAACCTAGTAGTTTGAGTTGTCAAGTACCTACCTACTTTATTATTTCAGAAATTGGCTGAGACAAAGAGGAAAATGGGCTTCTGAGTGGACTTTGGGGGCCTATTATTTTGGAAGGTCTCAGATCTTTGTTAAGAAAG